ATTSCAGTGTGTGATCACCTTTAYAGTGAAGAAGTTTTTTCTGCYATYCAACCTAAACTTCCCTTGGCACAGCCTAAGGCTGTGTCCTCTCGTTCTGTTGGTTGTTGCCWGGGACAAGAGACTGACCCCCACCTGACCACAAGCACCCTTCAGGCAGTTGTAGAGARTGATAATTAACCCCTTGCAGCTCTGGAGGGGCTGTGAGAGCCACAGGACACTGCTCCAGCCTGGCCTAGCCAGGGACAACCTGCTCCCTCTCCCAAAATGAGTTCCCTCCTGGGCTATGCCAGCAGAAGGTCACCTCCGGTGCTGGATATGCAGGAGGGTGTCAGAATGCACAACTGTCCTCACATGGCATCCCTGAACTGCTGAGCAGCCACCCACAGCCAGCCCTGCTCTGGGTGCGTGWGGAACACGAGCTGCAAGAAATGCTGTTGAGAAACCTCACTATTAATTRTGCTCCACAGTCCTGTTTTAATTAGAAGACAAACTGTTGTGGGAATACAAGCCTAAATTCAGACCTCAGGCCTTTTCGTTAATAATCTTCCCCGAACATGTCAAAATAGTGCAATCAGTTCATGCTTTTTTTTCTGTTTTCTCTATAGCCTCCCTTGTGGTTCAGGCACTAAGGGTGGTTTGATGGTGAATCATTCTCTGTTGACCCTGCCAGACCAGATTCTGGCATCCTCCCTCTTCCCAGGGAGCACCTTCCTTCCTCCAGTAATCAACTGGTTTCCAGAATGTGCCTGAGAAACACTCCCTGTCTACCCCTGGCACAGCKACCACCAGCTCTTGTCACTTTGGAAAAACCTGCTTTTGTCCACGTTGTCCCGGGACAAGGGTGGGACACACCCAGAGCAGCTGAGGAGCAGCCATCCCATCCCTCCCCATCGGGCACCTACCATGTCTGTGTCCGAGACAGGGCCGAAACTCGTCACGTAAATGTCTGTCTTGACTTCGGTTACACTGTCTGGGACAAAAAGAAAAAAAGGGAAAAAAAAAGGGAAGAAAAAAAAGCAATTAGAGAGCAGAATTTCGTTGTGCAGGGGAAGGGTTTGAGGTTTGTTATATGGTGTTCATTCCTGCTCTGCTGAACCCGCAGCACCGTGCTCTGTGCCCCAAACAACGGCTGATTTTATCACTCGTAATTGGGCACATTCATCTCCAGTGCAGCTCTGCTGCTTCCCACGCTTCCACCGAGGACAAATCTGTCCCACACRGCCAGACAATGCATATTTACAGAGTCTGTGCGGCTGCACGATCCACACCCCGGCRCAGATCCACATGTTTTCAATGCAGAGGTAAGCCCCGATGCTTTGAAACTCCTTTTTAATCTGAAATCCCTTTGTGTCTCCCCGCCAGATAAACAGCCTAGCGATGTTCCAGCGGTTTTAGGAAACCCTGGGTTTGTTACAGCTTCAGGCTTATCTGTATGTAAAAAGAATCAATATTCTGATTGCCTTTTACTGCCACTGTGCTCGCTGCTCTTCTAAGTGCTCACTCTCACCGAGCTGCTGCTCGCCCACATCACGTGCATCCCGGGCTGAGATTCCCTCATGGATGCTGAGCAGCAGCTTCACAGCCCCTGCAGAGCCCTGCTCCATGCCCAGCTGCCAGAACCAGGGGCAATTTTAACCCATGCCTTCAGATAATCCGAGTGCTTTGCAGAACACRGCCAGCAGCACGTGCTGAACAGCCCACAGAGCTCTCCTTCTTCGATCCTGGCRCATTTCCTAATTGACACCTCCGCTGCCATCCCACTTTGCGGGGAAATCAAGGCACGGTGATTTCCCAGATTTACAGTCCTGTGCTCTGCCCACTGGGCTGTGCTCAAAACGTGATGGATGAGCTGCCTCGAGTTCAGCACTCGGTTTCCATAAATCCTCCCCACTTTAGGGACAGATCATGCTGYTGTATGGCATTAGCTGGCTCCGAGCTGCTCTCCTAATGAAAGAGCCAATTTAAAGCTGCAAAGCAGAGTTCATGTTTTATGCACAGTAACCCCTTTTGGCCACTGCACCAGCTTTGCAATAGCCTGGATGGCCCATTGTTTAATTTCCTTATGGAAATCCTTCTGTCCCCTGGGAGTTATTTTGCAGTACTATAAAGCTTAGGTTTGTGCTTCAAAGTTTTACATCCCAAAATAAGATAATGCATTCTGGCAGGGTTTTCTCCTTAATGGCTAAAATATACGTATAACATGTCTTTGGTTATTATGGCTGAGAAGCTTTTGATGCAGCCCGTGGCTGATATCATTGTGCTATATAAGTAACCCTTGATCTTGTCTTGATGCGATAAAAAGAAGGTTAAAGAGAAATATGCATGCGGTACACTTTGTGAAACACCCAGAAGTCAAAACAAAACGAGCCACTTCTGTGAGACTGAAACATTYTGGGTATTCTGTGTCTCCCTCAAAYGAGTCCCCAGATGAGGCACACAGCACAGAACGTTTAGCGATGCGAGGCTCTCTCCGCTACCCCATGCGGCGAGAGAAAGCTAATTATGTCTTAGAGGAAACACAGAACTCGCCTTCCCCTCCCCTCCTCCCTCCCTGGCATTCAGTTTGTAGCCATGGCCAGCAGGTCAGGAGCTGTGGCCACCCACAGCCAGGGAAAGCAGTCCTTGGCAGGGGCAGGATGGGCTGTGCCCCGCACCTGAGGGACAGGAGGTGGTGGAAGGCTCTGTGCTTTACACTGTGCTCTGCTGGTCCGAGCACAGGGGAGGGAATTCAGGGAGTCAGCAGGTGACAAAAAGGCAGAACTAGTTTTGGACACCTTTTGATATGATCCCGCAACCCTTACATGAGCCTTTATGTCACAGAGCTCCAGAGACCCTGACCCTCCAATCTGCTGGTAAATCCAATCAAAGATAACGGCATTAGGAAACTCCAATAATCTATTCAAAACTTGTTAATATGAATAATTAATTACAACCCARTTTCTGTATCCCCCTGRCCAGGCCATGCAGCAGAGAAGGGAYGAGCTGGGGCTCCATCGCTGGCTCACCCATGTCCCTCAGCACAAGCAGCAAAAGGACCTGCTCTGCACCTCTCATGGCAAAAGCCAGACTGAACCCTCCCTGTTAATGTGTGCTCCTAAGGGTGGGATTTGGCTGGGATCTGGAGGGATTTCTGAAATTAAATCATTGCTACGCAAGCAGGGATTTCAGCAGAGCTGGGAAATCCAGAGATAAGTCAAACAGCAGCAGAAGAGAGCAAGCTCCAGCCTCGGAGATTGGCTTCCTTTGTGATCCCGCAGCCCAGGAGCACTGGCACTGCTGCCAGAGTTACTGGCTCTGCGAGACCTCCTCCTGCAGAGCAATCAGGAGCTGCCCAGGCAGCCTCCCTCCCCTCTCCTTACCCTCACCCTGAGCTATCCACCCTGAGCATGAACGACAAGAAATGGGTCTACTTTTTCAGCAAGAGAAAGCTGAGAGAAKAGCATCTATTGCCTCTGCTGAGAGACGTTGCAAGGAAATTCTTATCTCCTGCTCAATCCACAGACTTGCTCAAAACTGTAGCTTGGCTGTCTTGCCCAGTTCTCCCCAAAGATTTAAYAATTAAGGACAGTATAGGGGGTTAGGCACTTTCCCTAGAACTGCTGCAGAACACTAAATGGCATTTTTCATTTCCTAGCATCAGCCTTCCCTGTAATTCAATTTTTTTCCAGGCACGAGTTGAGCCTTCAAACCTGCTGGGGCAGCAGGTGGCTGCTGCCAGTCCTGTTTATAACCAGGGAAACAAAAATGCGAGGTTTTTGCAAAAAAAAAAAAAACAAAAACAAAAACCAAAAATGGGTTTTGGGAGGAAGCTGAAGCAGAGCAAGGAGTAGAGCCCAGCTCTGGCTGCCCTAAGGAATGGCACACCACTGCCCAGCAGAGCCCTGGGTGGGCTGCACAAGCCCCTCCAGACACCCTGCCGAGCTAGCTGGGGACCAGGAAAGCAAAAAAAAAAAAAAAAAAACCCACCAGAGACAACATGAAACTGGAAGAGCAAGAGATTTTCGGGTTCAGCATTTGAACATGGGCAGAATTTAGAGATCCACGTGGCATGCCATGTTCCCAAGCCATTTGTTTGAGGCTGATTTTCTTGTCTGAGGGCTTTGCCCGTTTACAGGCTCAGGTTGTTCCCAAGCTTCGGCACAACCATGTTTCTAGAAACAGTTTGTAGCATCAGTGTGACCAGAACAAGGTGCTGCAGGTCAGCCAGGKCTGCCCCTTCTCCCATGGGGTACAGAGCCCACCCCTGCCCGCCAGGCCACGCTGCCTTAGTCCCACCTGTAGGAATCCCCCACAGCTGGGCACATCTGCATTGCAAATGGCAAACAAAACACCCCTTCCCACAGCGTTACCATGGCACTTCCTACACCTGCCCGCTTTTGAAGAGCTGCCCCTCTCCTCCAGGAATCTCGATGCTTGTTTACACCGTAATTCCCCCTCCCAGCCCTGGGGCAGGGCAAGCCCCAGCCCCAGCCCCCAGCCCCACACCAGCAGGGTCTGTCGCTCACCCGGCTGTGCACAAGGTGTAAATCAGCAGCAGCTCTTGCTGAGGTGCTCCCCATTTCCCTGTGCTCCCATCCGAGCCCCGGCCCCAGGCAGACACCCCCTTTTTCCTTCAATCCCCCCCTCCCAGCGCTCGTGACTCCGCGGGCCCGGGAGGAGATAGCTATTATTTACAAAATGACGGAGTGCTATTTTTACTCGCTTCTTGGAAGCACCGGGAGCAGCGGCAGAGCTGGAATACAAATTACACCGCCTCGCTGCCTCTCCCCTCCCCGCATCCCGCCAGGGGGGCACGGGGGGCTGAGCGGGCTCCTGTTWAACCTCCCCCCGCACTCATCCAGCGCTGTTTGTTTAAGAACCGCGCCGCAATCCCGGCGGCTCGGCCGGCTGCGGAGGAGCGGGGCTGCGCGGAGCGGGGTGCC